AGGCTATACATGAAGGCTATGTCGCTTATTAGTGGGCCAAATTTGACTATATTTCACACATATAACAAGCATAGTAAAGAGTCTTAAGATTTGCAATCAGGTTTGAGAAAAATGTTTCGTTTCCACGGATACTGTGGCCATTTGGGGTTTTGTTGACATGTCTTACGTAATGAATACCGCACTTATCGTTCATGGAAATTGATTGTGGGTTTTTTGCATGCATGTTAACAAACATTAGATCTAAAAAAAATTGTCTGTTGATTTTTTTCCTAAAAGAATTAGAAACTTTTAAATGAATTTTTTCCTGAGGTAGTATTCAAATTTGCAACAAAAAAATCCGTGAAAATCTACACCCCAGACACCACCAGCAAAAATCTATTCCATCTATCAAAAATTCAAATGAAAAATATTTAGTATTACTTCTTCTCTTCATTCTGTGAACATTTCATGAAGATCGGACGAACACTGATGGAGTTATTTAAAAAGTATAGAGAAAAACCGCGTTTTCAGAAAACGGGCGATAAAAAAAAAATATTGACTTAATGAGAAAATGGTGGTTACAAACATGCCCAATATGGACAGAAATAAGGCTTTAGGGGGTTCTTAAGCGATGAAATAGTTGTAGGAGATGCTGAAGAAGTTAAAAATGCCTACAACTCAAATTCTATAATTTTGAGCCGAATCGGGACTTTGAGGGTGTAGCCCCCAAGCAAACTTTTGCAGCACGCAAAAATACTACATCTATACTACGTGTATATAAACATTTCGATCTTTTCCAGGCATCCAGTGCAATTATTATTGGTATTAGACCTGTCAATTTTTTTTCAGTTTCAGGTGAGACAAACTGCATTATTCTGAGCAATATGGAACCAATGTTACAATTCGGAAAAGCGAACAAAGAGAGAACACCCAAAGTGGGAAAAGAGAACATCTAGATCAAAGAGGATACATTATAATAGTAACATTTGATTATTGTGAGAGCGGAAAGTGTGCATAAAGCATAAAGCGTTTTTCTGTCGCATAAAATTAAAAAGTGCGGTCATTGCTTTATTAATACCCGCATTTGTTATATGCAAACAACAAGTATGGGGTCCCTTCATTAGCTTCTCTGGAGTCTTACCTCTAAGGTTGTTCCACTTGTCCCCTGAGAAAACAGAAACGAAAAATAGAAATTACATTCAAAGAATAGACTTGCAGACAAAATATTCACCTTGCATTGTTTAATCAAACAGCGAAAACAACAGACGCTTATGATGGGTCGTATATAGGTAAAATGTCTTTGAGGGGGAAGGAGGAGGATAATGGTTTTTTAATTGTCCAGGCTAAGGCTCTTGAGAGGGGGATAAAGCATGAAAATAGTGAAAATAAGGTGCTCTTGGGGTGAAACATTACTTTACTTACCTAATATAGTATCGATTAAGGCGTGCGCGCTGACGCTGAGCATGCAAACTAAGAGCATCAATCTGAGCATCGTGGCAGCTGTCGTGTTCGAATTAAGCCAGCTTTTGGCCCATCTTATATACTATATATAGCGATCAGGGGCGGCTCGTGGGGCTAAAAGGTGGACGTGCACAATAATAATTAAGCTATCGCATGCTGAATATAGTCAAGGGCATAGATAACAAATGAGACGGTGTATAATTTTAGGATCTTTGGGTTGGTGAGGGAGGGCCTCGTATTTTATTTTCATTCTTTTTACTTGTCGCTTTGATTTCTAGTATTAAAGTTGTTTGTTAGCTAAACATCAATTTCGTTCATCATGTATTGGAACTGAACACTCAAGTGTATGTAATAACTTTCACTACTCCAGTACAAAACCATTCAAAGGCACAACTCATAGGACGGTCACGTACACCTCCCTCAGGTTCACAGTCACAGAGTCACTTAAAATAGGCTAGTGGCAAACAAACAATGAACCAATCACAATTCACTTGAGCACTCCACAGGATTTCTCCGGGGCTCACATAACATTGGCAAAGAATAGCACAGGGTCTATCGTGTTTATTTTTAGACTTCCTACTGTGGGCTTTGTTTCGGCACTATTCGGCAGGAGCACATTTGAGATGTGCCGGTTTATTAATAACAATGTACCGCTAAACTCGCTACGAGTGTCGTCATCGCTTGGGTTATCCCCCAAAGTGATTTATAGGTCAGGTTACACCGTTGAATATCCTTTTCTGTTTAGCTAAAGCACGTGGACTTTGGCATGGCATAATATATAGTAGATGTTTTACGGCGATATAGAGAAATGACAGTTATGGCGCCAGTGAGGACCTTTGTTTTGATATAATATTTGGCTAGTGTTTGTTTCTGGCTTCTTTTATTTTATTTTTGTGGGTGATTAACGTAATAGAATATTGAAAAATGTTGGGCGGCACTGCACGACCATGCTCTATGGACGAACCGCGCCTGATAGCGATCAAAACGTCATTAATTTGAGAAAAAGAGCACACATGGCTTAGAATTACTTTACATCTAGCCCTGTTCCTCCTATACTATTTCGCAACAATTCCCGCCATCCCAAGGGGAGACGATGCCATTGTGTGGTGCCAAGCTTAGTCATGGGTTGGATTTGAAATAGCACAAAAGTGCGTCCGGCTGCGCCCCCTCCTTGTCCTGCACACACGGTTTGACATCATAAAAAGTAATAATGTGCACACAATCCACGGATGCCGAAAGTGGATTACGTAAGTACAATTCGCCCTCAGTGTTGGCTGTTTTGTGCGTGTTGTTTTTTTTTGTTTTTTTGTTTTGTTTTGTTTTGGGTTGTTTTGGGTTTTGTTTTTTTGCTTTTTTGTTTTTGTTTTGTTTGTTTGGATTGGGTTTTTTGTTTTTTTGTTGCTTCATTTGCTTTGTTTTGCTTTCTTGTCCGTTACTTTTAAGATTAAACTCAAGATTGGACTGCTATTATAGCCGAACCTATATGCCCGAATGCCTGCTGTAATAGAAATTATATTTTTATTAGGTATACACTGGAAGAGATCGGACTTGACGCTTTACTACACTGACCAACAAAGTTTAACAATGGCATGATCACTGTCTTTTTTCGCAATGAAAAAAAAATGAATTAGCCCTTGTGATAACAAATACCAATCTTATTCAGAGCAGGAAATAGCAAAAATGTGAGACTTTCAAGCATTTTGTTATTCAAATATAAATCATGTAAATCCTCAATTCACAATGGCAATGGGAACAACACTAAAACGTAATTCGTGTACCTAGCTAAGTCGGAGGCAACATGGTCATGACAGAAACTTTATTTTACAGGATTGTCTGGATTGAGTTATGACTGGAAATTTTCTTTGAATGCTCGAATCGTATTCTCCCATCATTTTGGTACACTGTCGGCCTTAATACAATTCCTTGATAATTTTAATGTCTCGGTGAAATGTTCACCTTGTTCATCACTGACATCTTCAACGTTTTGAGGACATTTATCTAAATAGCTTATTAGAAAAATAACCATTACGTTGAAGTTGCAGGGGGCAAAAGGAGGAAGGGGTGGGAGCAGAAATTGGAAGCGTAAGCAGACGACAAAACATGGTTAGAGAGCAGGAAAGGAGGTGAAAGGAGTAAATTTCAGAGAAGACAATGTTTCGTCTTTGCCAGGTTTCGAACCTGGGACCTGTTGAATGAGAGGCAAAGATCTTAATTTCTAGACTACAAGAGCCCCAGCACTGCTTTAAAAAACCTTTACTCAAATTATAGTTATACTATTTAATTTTCGAGCCGATTTTCTCAGCAATATGGCCTTCAATTCAGAACCATTTCGTCATCGCTCGCAATAATTTGCTCAATCTGCGATTTTAGTCCTAATTTAGACTACAGTTATCTTCTTAAAGCTTTCCAGGATGTTTGAATGACACATTGATTTTGTAGTTTTTATCGTTACGAGCGCACTGTTACGATTACTTGACGTGACTTTACTCGCAGTCACGACAAGAACAATTTTAGTTCACTTGGTTAACTTTTTTGGTTGGTAATTTCTGTTTTGTCTTTTGTTATCTCTTCTACGACAACCTATTGATAAGAAAATTAAAACTTTAGCGTGGCCTATTGTTTTATCTAGAAAGGCCTGGACAGTGCTAAGATAATAGTATAATATTAGCCATCTTTCTTACCTTTCTCTTGCAATTCAGTGAAAATTTCAAATATATATTTAATTTGGTTTAAGACATCAGATTTTGATTTAATGATCAATTAGCTCTGAAGGTTTTCAAGACATCTTTATCAATCCAAAAGCTATGACTTTTTAAAATATTCATTAACCCTATCTGTACGTCGTGTCGTGTTTTACTATCGTATCTATACGACGTGGGGAACTCTGCGCCACCATTTTCCAAGGAGGAAATTTACTCTTTAATCCGATCCGAACACTTTGCATAGCAGTCTGTCAAAATGATTTTTGGAAAAATACTGAAAGTTTCAAAGAGATCTTCGTACTACTAGAAGTAGTCTGAGAACGTCGATGCGTTCCGCAGAGTGATCAAAAGTGTCGAAAAGCCTGCAGCGTTTGCGAAAAGTATCCGGCAGTCTGATATGCCAGAACAGGCCTGCTTAAAAAAAAAAACAAGACTCAGCTGATGCGCATAGCAATGAACAAATACACCATTTGGGCAAAATTGACGCATCTGAGTCGATACAATGGAGACTCTTCCGCTCATATAATGCCCATCTTGTAAATCTGAGCGATCAGCTCCTCCTCGACGCTGATTGGTTATAAACCTTCTTTTAGGGTTGAAACGAGCCCAGATGAAGTTCTGTTTTTGGCTTCACAAAACTTTAGAAACCACTCTACTGGTTCTCCGTCCGTAATATTATACCTCAGAATGATCCCAAACTGTGACATATAACCTGCATCAGTTCCTCTGTCAGCCTGAACAGAAAGAAAGTTAGCGGAGCGTTCGTCTCTTTTCAGTTCTTCATGGTATATTTTAAAAATACAGTCCAGCAGTTCCTTTTGTATTATTTTGGAAGTACATTTTGCAACAGTAGCGCTTTGCAGATGATCAAACAGTATCATGTCAGTGATAGGTCTCTGCGCAGTAAATCAAGAAAGATAACTCTGTTCCCCGACAAATCACCTTCTTCATGGCCGCAAAGAGCGAGTTCGTGAGTTCCACAGAACAAAGTACGCACCTTTTCTTTCTCTCCCGTTCATTATGGTATAGTGAGACGTTGCAATGCGACGACCAACGTCTAGCTGCGCTGTTGTGACTATTTGTCCGAAAGTGTGATACCAGCCAGCATTGTTGGTGTTTCGTGTCTTTAATCCTTTGTTTCACAAGGACAAGATCAGTTAAACCTTTTTTTAAACCTCTTAGCGTCCTCAGTTCAAAAGGAGCCGACAGTAGAAACAGTTACAGTGAGTGTTTTCTAACGCTGACAATAAGCCACTCCACTGTTTCGCAAAGATCCGTTTTTAAAACGCGATTGCGCCTTTTTGTTTGGTTGTATTATTTTTATATCTTTGGGTTGGTGAGGGCCTATAATATTTTTTGACTTTTTCTTGTCACTTTGGTTTAGTGAACTGAATTTTGCAAGCAAAAAAATCAACTTCATAATATCCTTCATTGGAATTGTACACCAAAGAAATGAAACTTTCACCACTACACCATTCCAAGTAAGGTTTTACAGACATTGTGACCTGTTTAAGTCATGTTGATCTCGCTCGGGTTCAGGGCCACAAATGTGGGGCTAGATATAAATGGCAAGACAATGGACCAATCGCACATCACTGTGGCCGTGAGCACTCCGGTGGATTGCTCCGAAGCTGTCATGATAGGCCAAGGCTACGGTCATTGAATTGTGTAAGGTATCGTGATCTGGTCTGGTATTACGTTATTTTTAGACTGCCTCTGTGGGCTTTGTTCGGCTGGTGCACATTGAGATTGTGCCGCCTTATTAATATTAGATCTAATTATGTACTTCGAAACTCGTTCTAAACGTCATCGTTGTTTGGGTCAGCCCATAGAGCATTTTTAAAGTTAGATTACCACTACTGAACATGCTATTTATTACTTGGGAGAAACACTAGGACTTGATATGGTCTAAGTCTACGGGCGAAAACATAGAGAACGCCGATTTCGGAGACTGACTCAGTAAGCACCGATAGGTATAAAAATTCCCTTATGATTTCAAAATGCCCCACATAGAGCTGGCAGACGACAGGCGGCTTTAAGCTCGGATCGGTGTTGTCGGCTTTATCGGAATCCCCAAACTACATTCTTATTACGCCGAAAAAGTGGGGAGGGCGTCTCGCTGTCAACTCACGACCTCAATGCTTTCTTGTCGTATCTACATTTTTTACCAGTGAAAATGAGACTTCTTCTTAAGCTCACTCTTTTGTTGTGAACTGCTTTCACTGTTATTAAAAATGGAGAAGCGACAAGAAAACACTGAGGTCGCCAACTCATGCTGTGTCGCCGTCGCCAACTCGAGTTGAGCGGTTTGCGTGACGTTACCCGACTGGACAGGGGACAATTTTAAATGGCCATTTCAGAGCTGGTGCTTCACGGTAGACAAAAACTAA